CAAAATAAAGGAAAAATGCAAGTCAAAAGCCACAGCAAAATCAGCAAACATGAATTTAAATGGACAAAGCAAAACCAAAAGCCTCACTGTGAAATACTGGAATCTGTTAGCAATCCACTAACCGTACTTGATATCCTAGAAATCTTCCCAAACTATGGCCAGGGAACCGGGAGAACTGCCAAGGTCTTCATCAATTCTGAAATGATGCCTGAACTGAGACAGTCAGCCCGGCGTAAGGCAATTAAAATTCAAGAATTGGTTCCGTGAACCGCCCTTCTTTTTTGAAGCCAATGTTTTTAATTCTTGAATTCGGGAGGATCGACGGAAACTGAGTGATTTACTTCTGTCTTCCCAAATTTGGCCCCTTCTGTTGTCATTAGCAACAGGAAGAACAAACAGAGAATCAGGTTCAAGTTCAAACTCAGGCTGAACCCCAACAGACTATTCATATATTTTGTTGTCCTTTCAGTTATGCAATCTTGGAGCATATTCTTTGATAAATATTCGAGCTTGCAAACTGGCTAGCTTTAGATAGTACATGGCATATAGATCTGTTTGATGACAGTGTGCTTTTAACTTGTTCTCAAATTACGCATTCTCTAAAGTGTACCTATCACAGGCTTTTTGTGGTGAGATTTCTTCAGAAGAGATTACCTTGCCTTTGTCTTAGAGCCCTTCCACACTGCCTCTATATCCCAGGATCTGATCCCAGATTATCTGTTCATCCCAGGTTATCTGACAGTGAGGACTCATATATTCCAATTTAAGGTAGATAATCTGGGAATAGATCATGAGATGAAGAGCAGGGTTGAAGGGTCCTAAGACTAAAAGTGACTTGCCGAAGATCTTCTGGTGGATTTCCATAGTAAGTGGTCACCAGGACTAGGCCACTAAGTAATCAGCCCTCCACGTTTCCAAATTTGACTTTTGTGGATCTGATTAAATTGTTCTCTCTAGTAGCCTCTTGGTCCTCCAGTGTAACTCTATAGTCAACTTCTACATGATCGTATTGGAGGACCAAGAGATTGCTAGAGTGAATATGCTTTTATGAATCTCTAGGCCCTCTTGTGAGATTCTGTGCTCAACCTCTGATGCAAATTGACCATAGAGTCATGCCTAGAGATGTGCTCCCCCAGTTTAAAAAAAATTCTTTTCATTCACTGTATTATTATTATTATTATTATTATTATTATTATTATTATTATTTTAATGGGTTTCCAATGAATGTGGATGACTCACATCTGTGTTAAGGAAAGGGAGCAGCAGAAATTAGAAGCTGATACAATACATAAAAAGGCAAACAAATAAAAGTGAGCACTAGGGAAGCTTCCCAGTAAACATTTTCACGAATTCCACCTGAATGTGAGCATTTGGCTTTGGGTAGTTTTGCAATACTTCAGAACCGCTTATCTTGAATGCAAGCCATTCATGGGAGTTATAACAAGATAAAAATTAACTTGTTATGCAGGCTATTGCAATGAAAGAATCATGATAGACTATCAGACCATGGTTGGAGTGATCTTGGGCGTGGCAACTGATTGCTGTTTGTAACAGCATAGTAAAGAGCTGTTGGGAATAGGCCTGAGAAAGTACGCAACGTGGAGTTTATCTATTTGATCACAGAACTGAGATGTCAGAAACTTAGGCAGCACAATCACATTTTCCAGTGGGGAAATCAAAAGAATGCACATGGATTAACTCACACTAGTCTCGTTGCATAATATCTTGCCTTGCAGAATCCAGTCTCTCCTCTCCGTATACGTTCTGACCATGATGAGTAAAAAATATGAAGCAATAAAGGAAGGATGTAGTACTGTGTGGTACAATTAGAAATGTTTCCTTTTCTGTCAGAGAACTAATCAAGGTTAACTGTAGAAATCTGTCCTTGTAAACAAAGCACATGAAATAAAACTACTGAAGGCTATTCTTGAGATAAGACTAACATGTTGTCTTTCGAATGATGCATTTAGAGTCCTTCTAGAAAGAAAACGTAGGAGAAAATACTTCTGGAACATTACCATACAGCCCAGAAAACTCATAGCAACCCAGAAAATAACATGATTTTAAAATTATTACTTGGGTGACACTGATATTCTTGCACAGAAAAAATTGCTTTATACTTGACTAAATTTAAAATATGAGGTGTTCTGTATAACTCATGGGCAAATTTTTTTTAAATGTAAAAATGTTGTGTGCATCGCTATTACTTATAAATATTCTTGTAGTTTATTAATAGGGCAGCATAAGAACTCACCGAAATAGTTTACTAATATGATAACATTTATGTAATGCTTAAACAGCAATTATTTGCTGTGCAATCTGTCATTTATTAAAATAGACAAGGTTAAATCTCTGGCTCATGAACCTAATATGTCACAAAGAAGGTATTCATTTGATTTACCAGAAACTCTAGGTTGCTTCCTGATATGGGAACAATCTCCTAGTTATCTCTGATCACTGAATGACTGGAGATAGATAATCAGGGTGGGCTCACTGTGTGTGTGTTTTTTCCGCCATTCAGGAGGGCAGATTGAGAATCCATCAACTTTCAGGAGGCATTTGCAAATGCTGTCTGAATCCAATTTGGGGCTCGGCAGATGTTTGAAAAGTAGACTAAGAGTACACCTCCTTTACCTCTTTCTTCTGTTGGGGAGAAGGAGTGAAGCAAGATGCCCAGTTGAAGCATTGTATGGAAACTTGGTAGTTTGGGCATGGATTTTAGTGACATTAGGGTGTGTAGCCATGCTTCTTTAACTAATTCGATTTTCCTGCTTCTTGGAAAGGGGTTGGACTTGGAAGGGGGTTGGACTGGATGGCCCACGAAGCCTCTTCCAAGTCTATGATTCTATGATCCACAACACTGGACAGCAGTCGAGTGGGGAATCTGGTTCCTCATGTGGTGGATATACACTCAACCATCTGTGGCCAACCCAATGTGCCCCAAATATGGTCCAAGCAGGGACTCTTCTTAGCTACTGCAGGGATGGGAGAAAATCCTCAGCATCCACTGGCACCAAATGTGGTTCAGTGCCACTGGGTGGCCACCCTAAGTGCCCCCCCCCCCCGCTCTATAATGCAGTAGTTTCTGATGGTGACACAGGTCTTGCCTGTACTCGCACATGCTGTGATGTCAACCAGTCAATGGGACAGACCTTAAGTCAGAAGAAAGTCTGGATTTTGTGGCAGAATCCCAACTTCTTTTTGATTTTGGCTAATGCAGGGCAAAGCAGCATTAAAGTGGCTCTGTCCTATGTTACCCCGGCTCAGCCTTGTGCAACATTTGGTTGCTATGAGACCGCTTGCCTCTACACTGGCCTGTGTCTGCGTAATAATAAAGTAAGATCTGAACTGCAGATGTAATCATTGCCTTCGCTTGGTATACTTTATGCAATATTTCCTTGCTATTATAGTCTGTGGTTTTTACTTAGATTGAAGGAAACACCACTCTGTCATGCTGAAGCAAGCTAAAGATGCTGATGATAGGTTTTTCATGATGTGTTATTACCAGATGACTGTTGCATAGATCATGATCACATGAGCCCTCTGAGAAGTATTGTCAGAAATCTTTGCACTGCAGATTCTTCTCTGTTGCCACCTCCAGCCTTGTGAAACTTCAGTGTTTACTTGTACAGCTTTATCACAGAATTTGAAGTCAGCTTATTCAAGTGTTTAGCAGAGTCTTCTGATTAAACCAGTATTATTTTTAAAAAGGGAAGCACTTTGCAAGTAGCTAAGGGAAAACAGTAGTGTCTCATAACACTATTTTTGTTCCTGGGTTATAAATGGCATTTCCTAATTGGTTTTATCATAAAAACATGGGTAGAGCTTATTAAACTGCAAAAAAAATGTTTTTGTGGGACATTTTGCAGCATATTTTGCTATAGTTTTTCAATGAATATTTCATAGAATCTTGGCCAATTCAACATAGTTCGTGGCAACCACAAAAATGAAGTTTCTGGAGTATTACAGCTCCTTTCAAAGTAAGTACCACACAATTAAACAGGAATTAGCACTTTCAAACCAGAAACAGAAAAAAAATCCAGATGTTATTACATAGTGTAATTAATTAATTAGACATTCACACAGTTGATGTTGAATAAATTTACATAGCCAAGGTTTATTTGGTTTGAGTTTTGAGTAGAACTCGAAAGTTCTGATACCCTGAAAATCAGTTGTAGATATGAGTGCTGTTTCTGGAACCCCATCCACCTCCAGCCAACAAGTACTCTCTCCCTCTCTCTCTCTCTCTCTCTCTCTCTCTCTCTCTCTCTCTCTCTCTCTATATATATATATATATATATATATATATATATACACACACACACACACACACACACACACACACACACACACACTAGCCATCCTCTGCCACGCATTGCTGTGGCCTAGTCTGTGTATATGTGTTTTGTGTGTGTATATGTGTATATATGTGTGTTTGCATATATATGTGTGGTTTTGCGCATGTGTTGTAATGTTTTATTTTTATTTTTTGGCTTTTTAAGTCTCTTCTGCTGTGTTTTTCAGTGTTTTATGAGTGATGGTCACTCGTTGGCCTAATACGTGTATTGTGTTCAAATTTGGCGTCAATTCATTCAGTGTTTTTGAGTTATGCTAATCCCACAAACGAACATTACATTTTTATTTATATAGATTCATGTCAGGAGTGACTTGAGAAACTGCAAATCGCTTCTGGTGTGAAAGAGTTGGCCGTCTGCAAGAACGTTGCCCAGGGGACGCCTGGATGATTTGATGTTTTATCATCCTTGTGGGAGGCTTCTCTCATGTCCCCGCATGAGGAGCTGGAGCTGATAGAGGGAGCTCATCCGCCTCTCCCCGGATTCAAACCTGCGACCTGTTGGTCTTCAGTCCTGCCGGCACAGGGGTTTAGCTCACTGCGCCACCAGGGGCTCCATGTTTGACATAAAAAAATATTGATTTATGGCATGTCAACATGTTTTGATTCATTTGTTAATATCTTAATTCATTTTTATATTCTGTAGGTATTCTCAGACTCTTGTATTTGGTATGGTGAGTGTGGAATTGCTTCTGGAGATAAACGATACAATTGTGAATATAATGGTCCAGCACTGCCATTACCGAAGGATGGCTATGACTTGGTTCAGGTACGTATCTAATGATTAAAATGTTATGGAATGTTTCTTTAGGCGAGTATGCATATTTTTAATCGTGTAGCATATTTAAAAGGTTTAGTTCATATAATAGCATCAGTATTTAAAATGATAACATACTTAAGCATGGCAGCACACCATGTCATTGGGTTGCTGTCAGTTTGCTGGGCTGTATGACCATACAGCTCGGAAAACTCACAGCAACCCTGTGATTCCGGCCATGAAAGCCTTCAACAACACACCATGTCATGTTTACTGAATTTCACCGTCATCCAGTTTTATACATGAATCCTGATTTGACTCCTAAGGATGAAGGGTAGATTTTGGAAATAGTACCTTTATGGATTTCAACTCCAAAAATCCCCAGCTAGCATGGCCTCTGACCAATTCCAAACTCTGCCTTGAATACAATCCAGAAATTTGTTCTGGAAATTAATGTAAAATATTTTGAAAATTAGTTGTTTAGAATGAGAAATAGAAAAACAGTGGGGCTGCTTTATTGTTATCTACTTTTCTCTCCAGGAACTTTGCCCAGGCCTTTTCTTTGGGAATGTTAGCCTTTGTTGTGATGTGCATCAGCTTCAGACTTTGAAAAACAACTTGGAGCTCCCTCTGCAGTTTCTTTCCAGGTAGGTGAAGCTATTATTGCAGGTTGTACCTTGTACATAAGGTTATAGTCTTCTCTTCCTAGAAAACCAAATGATATCTGATCAGTATTTAGTTTTCTAGGACAGAGGAAGGAAAACATGTGTTTGCAAATCATATATGCCTGAAGTCAGCTAATGTTACAGATACTGTTTTGCTCACCAGATGGTTACTGTTACCACATAGGTATTTTTTTTAGCAGAAAACATTCTCTAAATATTTCCTTAGTAAGATGTTTGTAAATATTTGCTATTTAGTGCTGTTTTATTTTGCTCAATGACTTTCTCTAAATTACTTTCAGTTTTTTTCTGATTTTCCTTTTCTGAAGAGGGAGGCAGAAAGAGCATGCAAATGGCAAATTGTAACGATGTGCAGTTTAAATATAAGAGTAACCTCTTTTGGAAAATGGAAATCTCCATAACCTTTTGGAAGATTTTGTGATCTTTGGAAAGGGATGATCTTGTTAAAAATCACAACTTTTTGAAGAATGATGTCATACCCTCCTTGCAAAAGCATGACCTGTTAGAATCATAACCTTTTGGGAAAATGGCATTCACCAGCATTCATACACACACACACACACAGCAGAGTTTCAGAAGTGTTCTTTTAGTTGCCCAAAAACATCTGCTCTCCCTTAAAATATATTTGCCTTTAAATCATGCTCTCAAGAGACAAAAATAAGCAGACTTCTTTAAAAGTAACATAGTTGGTTTACTCATAAGCTTCATGTATTCAGTATTTGCTTATCAATCCAGTTACAGATAGGATTTCAAGTAGTTTCTCTGTGTAGGTAACACAGGGCACCTTTCTTGGAATCAGTAGTCCAAAGTTTTGAGAGTCTAATAGAGGCTCTGTCTTCTAAAGCATACAGTTCCTACATTGAAGTCTAAACTGTAGTGTTCCTGCAGTCTTCTAAAAGCACACTGAGATCTAAATGGAGTCTGAGTCCTGAACAAGCCCAGTTCTGATCACATGGTCTGCAACCCCTCCCACAACAAAGAGGTTAAAGAAAACATACACACATATACAATACAGTAAACAATTATATATAAACAAATAACTAGTGGAGACTTGAGAAGGTTGCTATTTTCATTTTCCAACAATCTCAGTGTGACATAGTAGGACTGGGAATGCATGTGTAAGATTTGGCTGAAAAGCTTGTTTGACTTATCACTGAACAGAGTGACGCACTTGACATGGATACATGGGACGAATGACAGAGATATTGAGTAGAAGGTGTAACTTATGTAGTAGACTCTACGTTTCATTTATTTTGTTAGGGCTAAGTGAATAACTGAAATTGCATTTATTCTGCAGTTACGGTTGTATTGTGCTGAACAATTCAGTTTAGCTTCTTACCAAGTGAAATGTTCTTGGCCTTTCTTGTACTGAAGGTAGTTGGAGAATTTGCTGGTCACATACAAATTCCATGGAAATACTATTAATGTAAATTTTGACATTTTCATCTCTTTTGTATTTCTGGAAAACAAATACTGTATTGCCTCTTTCGAATTAGCTGTATATTGTGCACAAATTAAGAAAAAAAATGTGAAACTTCTGATGTTCATTTTCTCTCCAGGTGCCCATCATGTTTTTATAATTTAATCAACCTGTTCTGTGAGCTAACCTGCAGTCCTCATCAATCAGAATTTTTGAATGTTACACAAACAGAGCCATACATTGATCCAGTTACAAAACAGAATAAAACCAGCATCACAGAGCTGCAGTATTACATTGGAGAAACATTTTCTAATGGTAAGTGTAAGGAAGCGTAATCCCACCTAAATGGGATTACCAAAATTACGTAAATATGTATGTTAATCCACCTAATTTCAGCATAAATTATAAGGAAGTCCCAATACTGCTTGATTACACTGCCACCATTATATATATAAAGAGATGTTGGAATTGAAGTCTCTGTTCATCCCTATCTGCGTTGTGAGGAAACTTTGGTAGAGTGGATTGCACCAAATGTAAAATCAATGGAGGAGGCAGATTTATACAAAGAGAACAAGTTTATTGTTAACAGAGCGTAATTGTTGCAATATTAAGATGTTGAACTTGGCACAATCTTGATGGTTACAATATGGCTTGGTTGAGATACATTCAGGCTTCTGATGTTACAATCCTTTAAAACTCTTTCTTCAGTGAAGTACTTTATTATTTCAGTGTTCCCTGTTGTGAATATTCACTCTGTTTGTCCTATACCGGCTCAAACCACCGATCTCCAGTCTTTCACTACTGGGATCCCTAAAACGCCCTTTGTTAGATTCTTTTTAACACAAGCAATCTAACAAGGTTTCACCTTCAGCTCCCTTGCTGAAGAAATATTCACAAATGCTAAGAACTAACTGAATTTATACTGCTTCACCACACAGAGCCCTAACTGACTCCGCTCCTCTTCTCAGGGTCTCATCCTCCTGACTGACTATTAACTGTTACTTTCAAACCTTTTTCTCCTTAAGCTCCGCCCACCTTCTCTTCTGCCTTGTCACCATGGCAACCTATCTCTCACAGCTAGGCCATGGCCACCCATGTAAAACATAAATACAGTTTAAACACAGTACAATAAACCCTTTATAATAAACACTTCTCTACAGTAAGCAATGCAGATTTTATAAAAAGCCCATTTTTATTTGCATTCATCTGTAGGTTAATTGTTTATAAATTGCATGGAAAAGAAGGTTAAGTAAAGGCAGGGATAGTGGAGTGTGTGATTGTGCACTACAGAAGTGCTTTAAGACTGCTGGTAATTATTATGTTGGCTAAATGGGAGATAACATTCATCCAATTTGCAAGACCAATTTAAGTTAAGGTTTTATTGTATATACCTGGGGAGAAAAAATCCCAGTAGGGCTTATTTCTTGAGCAGGGATAATTGCGTCCTTTAGTGTAGTAATATTAGAAGAACACTTTTGTATTCTGTTCATCTGTTACCTGGAGCTCCAGTGGCGCAATGGGTTAAACCCTTGTGCTGGCAGGACTGCTGATGGAAAGGTCGGTGGTTCGAATCCGGGGACCGAGGTGAGCTGAAACTTAATCCAAACTGAAACTTAATCCAAAAGGTCAATGATCACCTACTCTAGGGATGGCAAACTTGTGGCCCTCCAGATGTTTGGACTTCCAACTCCAAGAAGCTCTTTGACAGCTTGTCCAAAGGCCAGGAATTCTGGGAGCTGAAGTCCAAAACACATGGAGGGCCACAAGTTTGACACCACTGTGGACCTAGTTGGTTGAAAGACAGATCTGGGAATAGGAATTAAGCTTGTACTGGATGAGTTTACACTCTTCTTGAAGCTTCAGGTCCACAGTTTGGTTGCAGTCCTAGGTTCAGGCTCAGATTTTGTTAGTGGCCAAGAATGCTTTTTCATCCATTCCTTGAGATTTCAGGTCTGGCTATGATGGCACAAGCCTTAGTTGCATCCTATTGGATTATTGTAATATGTCGTGCTGGGGGCTGTCCTTGGATATGGTTCAGAAACTTGTCCAAATGGCTACAACCAGATAATTATCGGGCCAGCAGTACAGAGCACACAGCTACTTTTTTGCAACATCTCCAATGGCTATATATCAGTTTCTGGGCACAATTCAAGGTCCTGGTGTACTGTATAAAGCCCAATACAGCTCAAGTGTAGGGTATTTGAAAACTCTTTTCTCTGATACAAATTTGCCTGAATTTTGAGATTTTATAGGGAGGTTCTTCTCTCTCTTCCACCACCTTCATACATCTGGTTGGGTAAATAGGTGAGAGGCTGTCCCCACACTCTGAAACTCCCATCCCAAAGAAGTTAGGCCAGAATCCTCTTATTTGCTCTCTTTCTACAGACAGGAAAACACATTGTGGTTTTAACAGACCTTGGAAGACTAGCGACTCAAGGATAAAGGGCCTTGCGTCATATATAGGATTTTCTATTTGCTGTTTTCCTTGTAGTGATTTATTTTTATATAGTTTAACTACTTTTTAAACTATTGTATGTTGTAAGTTTTTAGCTGTGATTGATTTAATTGTTATGTGCCACTTTGAGTGCTGAACTGGGGAAAAAGCAGGAAATAATAATAGCAATAATTATCATTATAATGGTAATAGTGCTAATATCATTATCATCCAGTCTTACTCTTTTCTGTTTCAGGATGCTTTGTTTTTGGGGGGTTTTTTTGCAAGCAAACAAAATGCTTGTGATCTAAATTAAGTCTGATAGTTACTAGGAACTAGTAAAGATGCAGAGGCTCCATTGGTTATTCATTCTCCTGTGACAAAATTAAATACATGTTTTTGAATAAGGAGTGTACACATGTATTATCAAAATAATTAGGTCGTTAGAGTGGTTATTTGATTACAAAGGCCCCCTGGTGGTGCAGCAGGTTAAACTGCTGAGCTGCTGGACTTTCTGACCGAAAGGTTGGCAGTTCAAATCCAGGAAGCAGGTGAGCTCACGCTGTAAGCCCTGCTTCTGCCAACCTAGCATTTTGAAAACATGCAAATGTGAGTAGATCAATAAGTACTACTTCTGCTGGAAGGTAATGGTCCTTCTTGCAGTCATGCTGGCCACATGACCTTAGAGACGTCTATGGACAATGCCGGCTCTTCGACTTAGAAATGGAGATGAGCACCACCCTCCAGAGTCGGACACGACTAGACTTAATGTCAGGGGAAATCTTTACCTTTACTTTAGGAATTCGTCCTTTGACATAATGGAGTAGACAACGCTCGATCACCGATCACATAATGTAACTGATAGTTGTCATTAATTACTTTAGAAAGTTAACAGCTAATAGTGCTGTCCAGATTGTTCTTCAATAGAAAGCACTTAGTATTTTAAAGCTTTATATTTTATTAACCTTTGGCAGAAGCTGGATGCAGCACGTCTGGCTGTCTTGGCAGTCCAGGTGTCATTTATTCCTCCCTGTCTGAATTTGTGGCTTCACAAGAGCTGGTCTTTTCTGCAACAGATAGTATATAGGGTTACCTTTCAGTTGAAGTCTATTTGGTCTTCTACCACAGATTTGGTTGAGTTACTTTGCTGTGTCTTCTATCTCTCATGCTGTATTTTCTTTAAACGTAACTCAAACAAATAGATGCAAAACGTCAGGAGAGAATGCTTCTGGAACATGGCCATACAGCCCGAAAAACTTACAGTAACCCGTAACTCAATCCTTTCATGAATAACTGGAAGGACAATAGTTGGAGATTAGGGGTCAAGTGGGAAGATATGTGAAGCAATTCTTAACTTTGAACTGTATCAAAAGTGTATCTACAATACAATTGTCTTATAATCATTTTATTGTGTTTGATGAGTCAACTTTTGGAATTTCTCTTTGTATCTTTGGGTATTGCTCTCTTATTTTCCAAATTGTGTTTACAGCCATGTATAACGCCTGTAAAGATGTAGAGGCTCCATCAAGCAATGTGAAAGCACTGGGACTGCTGTGTGGAAAAGATCCTAAAGACTGCAATGCAACCAACTGGATTCAGTATATGTTTAGTAAGGATAATGGTCAGGCTCCTTTCAACATGATTCCAATATTTTCAGGTAGGTGAGCTTTGGCCTTTGTGCTCCTACTTAGATTAGCTCCTACTTATGTGTGATAAAGTTGATGCTGCAAACACAAAACCTTTCTTGTTGAATTCTGTAAATGTTAAAAGTCAAAAAGTACTATCTTAGTTTTATATGACTGTTTAATTGTTTGTCATTTCAATACATATATATCCTTATACATTTTGACAGGGAATGGTAAAGGGACCGCGGTAGCCCAGCGGGTTGCACCACTAGATGTAGGAAATCTGCCCACTGGAAGGTCAGCAGTTTGAAGCCATGAGTCGGGGTGAGCTCCTGGCTGTCAGCCCTAGCTGCTGCCTACCTAGCAGTTTGAAAGGATGTAAAGCAAGTAGATCCATAGGTACCCCCTAAGCGGGAAGGTAAATGGGTGCCCTATGCAGACATGCAGACATGCTGGTAACATGATAGGAGAAGTCTATGGAAAACAGGCTCCTCAGCATGGAAAAATGGAACAAGAGCACCTTCCCATGGTCATAGCTGAGCATTGCCTCTAAGCGCCAGAGCTGGAAAGGGAAGGCCTTTACCTCTGTCTGTGTATTTTGTGTCATTGTTTACTGTGTAAAAAGGCATTTAATGTTTGCCTTGTATATGTAAAAACTGTAATCCATGCTGAGTACCTCCAAGGAGATAAAGTGGAATATAAATAAAGTGTATTATTATTATTATTATTATTATTATTATTATTATTATTATTCAACTAGTCATCCCCTGCCACTGCCACGCATTGCTGTGGCCCAGATGTGTTTTGTGTGTATATATATCTGGTTTTGCACATTCATTGTAATGTATTTTTTTTATTTCTTGACTTTTAAGTCTTTTCTGCTGTGTTTTTCAGTGTTTTTATGAGTGATGGTCACTTGTTGGCCTGATAGGTATATTGTGTCCAAATTTGGTGTGAATTCATCCAGTGTTTTTATGAGTGATGGTCACTTGTTGGCCTGATAGGTATATTGTGTCCAAATTTGGTGTGAATTTAATCCATATTGATTAAAACAGAATCAAAAATGAATATCACAACAATTAATTGTGTGACAAACACATTTTAATCTGTTTTAAAATAATGTTTTGTCTGTTGTATATTGTTTTGGGAGCCTTAGTGGACTAAATGGTGATAAATATTTTTTGTGTCTTTAAGTTTCTGTAACGCGTGAACATTTTTATTCCCAGATGTCCCTATCCATGGGATGACTCCTATGAACAATGCTACCAAAGGCTGCAATGAGTCTATGGATGATGCCACAGGGCCGTGCAGTTGTCAGGACTGCTCTATCGTCTGTGGCCCCAAACCAGAGCCCCCTTCACCCCCTGCTCCGTGGCTTTTGCTCGGCTTAGATGCTATGTATGTCATCATGTGGATTTCCTACACAGGATTTCTGCTAGTCTTTTTTGGAGTGGTTTTTGGAGTGTGGTGTTACAGGTAAATAGCCTTCTTTCTTCTTTTCAAAGCACTTAACACTGAAAATTTGATAGTACATGGCTAATATGCCCATGTTCCCAGAGTGTGCACAAGGACATTGTCACTAAAATAACATTGGATGAGGATGAGGGCTTTGTATGGTCCAGTGGGGAGTATCTGCTTTCTGGTAGATAGTTAGCATCCCTGTGCAAAGTATCTGTTAAATCTGTGTTTGTGTTTATACTTACAAATAAGAGATTTAAAGTAAGCAGCCAGGCTATTGTAGTAATGGCATGCTTACTTACCCAGAGTACTGTTTAGACAAGGCCGGGCATTGATCTGGTGACAGGTCTGGTATGAGATGAGAGTCCTTGCATTTTGTCAAATGGCTTATGTCAAGGTCATTTCTTCTGCTGATATTGACTTAGGCAAAAATAAGACATTGCCTAGTGTGGACAATGCACTCTGCACCTTTAGCTGAATTGCATGGGGATTTGAAAGTACCAAGCCAGCAGAACATGAGGCAAAGTAAACAACACTCTTGTGAATCATTGTTAGTAGTCACAGGCATTTTCGTCTTTTAAGTGCTTACTTTAACTAGGAACCAGAGACAAATATTCTCTAGTAAAGTCCTCTACTATGTATCTAAGGCTTGTTATTAAATTTTTGTTTATAAATTGATGTCTCATTGGCTGACTGTTCCTAGACTGTTGTATCGTTGTTGCATGATACAATTCAGCCATTGTCTCAAATGATATAGCATGACATTCTCTAATCAGTTCAGTTTCCACAAACTCTGATTTTTTCCGTAACTTTGTTCTTATGAGGAAGAGTATTGAATATTTATTTATTTATTTATTTTATTTACACTATTTCTATCCCACCCATATCAGCCCTAAGGTGACTCAGGGCGGCATACAAAGTCGGCACAATTCGATGCCATATATAAAATGCATACATTGATAAAAAGCAAAAAAGAAACATTACAGTACATTTAGAAACATAAAAACAATGAATAAAAATTTAAAAACTATGTCCTCTCGTTCAAATCCTCATCCGTTCCATCGTCTTGGCCGTTCCTGGGTCAGTTTCCGATTCAAGTTTGTCTGTTTATCCCAAGGTTCCGAATGCTTGCTCGAAGAGCCAAGTTTTCACTCTTTTTAGAAAGGTCAGGAGGGAGGGGGCTGATCTAATATCCCTAGGCAAGGAGTTCCACAACTGAAAGAGTTATTGTGACAAGCCAGGGCTGGGAAGGCACCTTTAAACCAACTTCACATTCCAGAGCTCAGTTTATAAGCAAAGCAGTTTATTAAGAAATAAATGTAGCTTCAGCAAAAAATGATTAAAAGATCAAACAAGGCACTTGAAGAAACTTGAAAGCAACAATCCATACGTCCAGGATGCAGGCAAGATCTTTAAACTGGAACTTTAACAAAACACAGCAATCCAGAAGATCAAAAGTACACAGCAGCTATAACATAAATAAGAAAATACAGGAGACCACTTGACACTTGGAGGAATACAGGAGACCAGGAAACAACTTGATTCTTGAAACATGAGTCCATGAATAGAAAAACCTAAGACTTGAGTCCATGAATCCTTGAGAGAGGAACCTGAAGCATGTAACTTGAATCCAGACATTGACTCCTCTAAAAAATAACCCAAATCAAACCTCCTTTATACCTAAGAAACTATGGCACTTCCCTTGGGAACTCTCTGCAGGCCCTCTTCTCATTAACAGGCTCTGAGAACAGCGCCTCCCTTCAGCTGCTTGTCTTTGTTGACAAATTGCTCTTCTTCTATCTGAGTCAGGAGGCGACACATCTGCAATTACTACATTACGGTCAGAGACTGACCTTGTTTCCCTTGAGAAATCTAACTCTGGCCTGTCAGTCTCTGAATCTGTCTCCAACTGCAAATCCATTGCTGGCCTAACATTCCCAGAATCCCCACCCCATCAGGTACAGAACCAGACTCGTGTGAGTCCTTAGACGCTGACACAATCTCCTCTGACACCTCAGTAGTACAATCCCAGGCTGAACTACAACAATTATTAGGAACCTGTAATTGCTTAGACATTAAGAAAAAATGCTTCAAACTGGGTTGAAACTAAAAATGCTTTTCTAGTTACGGATTAGGAGAAAAAGGTTTGGAGAAGCTGATTAAGAAGGGCAAAATGAAAGTTGTATTAAAATAGGAAGTTCAGTAGCACTTCTGCTGTTATTGATTCTGGCGGTTGTGATAACAAATCTGCGCCTGTTCCATCAGTCCTAAGCATGATGACCAATTATCAAGGGGGGTGGCAGTTGTTATCTAGCAACAATTGGAAAGTCATACGTTCCCTGACCTTTGTTTATAATCCATAGGAAGAGGGATGAATTGGACAAGCATGTGCAACAGTGATGATTATATACTGCCTTCTATGCAAATTGCACTGTGTATCGTTTTCAGGTTCATGAAACCTAGTACACACATGTTTGTATATGTGGATAGCCTACGTATTTGTATTCTGGGAAGACCTGAAGAGTTTAGGGAGGTGTATTTGTCTTATCTAAAGGAATTCCCCCCTCCCCTGAAATGTAATTTTCAGGGAAGACCTGAACACCAAGCATATACACAGATTCTTCGAAGCATTTCCAAAGATTTCAGCGGTCCTCATTTAGTTAAATCTTTCTCCTTGACATACAGTTGAACTTGGTACATGATTTGGCAGTTTAGAGATGGCTTTCTGAATGTTGCGAGAACTGCAATTCAGAATATCATCACAGTATCATGCATACTCAATGGTGGTTCAGTATTTCATATACTTGGTGCAGTATTTCATATTCTCCTGTTTCGTCTGGTTGATTTGGCTAGACCTGCCTGATTTTGCAACTTGAATATGACCAAGTATGGATCTTGTAAGCAGTATCCTACTTTGTCTTACAATACTTGAGAATCATTTAAATGATTTTGTGCATGTTTGTCTCATTTATAGGAAGAGACACTTCGTTTCAGAGTACACACCTATTGACAGCAACATTGCTTATTCTGTTAGTTTACGCCAGGATACTGGTAAGTGTGAGTTTAACATCATATAGTATGCATTTTTAAATACTCTTTGAACAAAAGTCATATGAGTTTACATAATAATACCTTGATTTTGTTGTGAAATAAGTCTTAAAGTACATTCTGTACATCATTCTTATACTGTTCTCTGTTTTTAGTGATAGAAATGTAGCCTAATCATATACATTATTTTTTAAATACCTACCCTTAACTATAGAGATCCCAGATGCCTTAGAAATTCCCTTCCTTCCCTCTCTTTCCCATCATTACTTCATCAAAGTGATCGATTCTGCTTGAACACTACCTAAATTGTCTGGGTTGTATATTATTTTCTGTGGTTAACAATATCATGGAACTCTTTTGCTCATTATGGTAGTTTTGTACCTTTTTTTTGCATATTTCAGAGAGACAAAATAGTTAAAGAATTGTGGCTAGTGGTAGTCTTATTCTTTTTTCATGTCTCTGCTTGCAGGAGAAGCTACTTGGTGTGAAAGATTCGGTGAAAAGTTTGAGAATGCATTAAGAGTCACATTCATGTCTTGGGGAGCATTCTGTGTTCGAAACCCACGGCCTGTTATTCTCTTCTCCCTGGTTGTTGTTGTTATGTGCTGCTCAGGCCTCTCGTTTATGAAATTAACTACAAATCCTATAGACCTGTGGTCAGCCCCAAGTAGCCAGGCTCGCAAAGAAAAGGAATATTTTGATGTTCACTTTGGACCTTTCTTCCGCGTTGAACAACTTATTATTCAGGCTCCTCGTGCCAAGCCAGAAATCTACTCTCCATACCCATCAGGAGATGATGTTCCTTTTGGTCCTCCACTTACCAAAGATATTTTGCACCAGGTAATACAGTAATTAGTTCTTTGCGGTGTACAAATAACAGCTTTTAACAGTCTTAGAAAAAAAGGTATATTAAGTAACAGCATTTCTACATCCTTGAAAAGTGTTTCAAACATGAACTTATCAAATATGCTTTCCACTAAGGCAGGTATGGGCAAACTCAGACCCGGGGGCTAGATACAGCCCCTTGGGCTCTTTTCTCAGGCCCTCCTCTCCTTCACAATCCTATCCTTCCTTCCTTCTCTCTTTCCTTCTTCCTTCCCTTCCTTTTTCTCCTTCCCTTCCAGCCTTTTGTCCTTCCACCCTTCCTTCCTCTCTTTCCATCCTTCTTCCCCCCCTTCCCTCCCTCCCTCTTTCTCCCTCCCTCTTTCTCCCTCCCTCCTTCCTTCCCTTCCACCCGTTTGTCCTTCCTTCCTTCCCTCTTTCACCCCTCCTTCCTTCCTTCCTTTTTGTTTTTCCTTCCTTCTCCCTTTCCTCCCTCTCTCCCCTCTTTCTTTCTCCCTCCCTCCATTTCCTTCCACCCTTTCATCCTTTCTTCCTTTTCTCTTTCTTTCCTCCTTCCCTTTCTTCCTTCGTTCCATCCTTCCTTTCCACCCTTTCATCTTTCTTTTCTTCTCTCCTTCTTCCCTTCCTTCCTTCCTTCCATCCATCCATCCTTTTGTTTTTCCTTCCTTCTCTCTTTCCTTCCTCCTTACCTCCCTCCCTCCACTCCCTCTTTAATACTTCCCTTCCACTCTTTCATCCTTCCTTCCTTTTGTCTTTCCTTCCTTCCCTCTTTCCTCCCTCCTTCCCTTTCTCCTTCTTTCACCTTCCATCCTTCTCTTTCTCCTTTTCATCCTTCCTTCCTTCTCTCTTTCCTTCCTCCTTCCCTTCCTTCCTTCCATCACGGGGCAGCCAGTCCTAGCAGGGAACGCTAGCATGTGGCCCCCAAGTTAGAAAGTTTGTCCATGCCTGTACAAAGGATTGTCACACACATTTGGTAAAACAAATTTTCCATTGAACGATCACATCCTTGTTACTCAGTGCGCAGTGGCGTGTCTCTCCTGTAGCTGCTTCATATCCCACTCATTTCTGGTGTTCCCCTCAATGGAACTGGTTTTCCATAATAGATTTATGTATGGAAAATATTATCCTGCCACAATTCTGCTTCTCGGGCAGCCATGAGATGTGACTGGGCCAGATTTTATAGGATATTTTATAGGATATTCAATCTTCCTTCCAACAAGGAAGGATTGTCATTTGTTTTGGGGGCACAGAGGGACACACCTCACCAAAAAAGTGATGATAGCCCTTCCTCACATGGGAGTTCTCCTTGAGAGGAAGGACTCTTATTGCTTTGATGGTGGGGCACAGAAGGGCATACCCAGCTCCCCCACATGCCAAAGGAGCAGACGGTCCTTCCTTGGTGGGAGAAAGGAATGCATATGCAAAGTAGGGCTTGCAGGAGTCAGAAGGCAGTACTATGGCAGTGATGTTGTAAGCCACCCCAGAGTTGTTGTATGCTGCCCTGAGTCCTTTTGGAGAGGGGGCGGGATATAAATAAAGTTTATTATGATGATGATGATGCAGAAAACAGATCACGCAACCATAAATCACCAAAGCAGCACTGAAGTACAAATCAAAGTTAGATATGATAGCAATTAATGCAAAATTGGTGTGCCTTAAAGTAGCAAGATGGTGGCAGGACAGGAACTTCTTGTGGTAATAACACCATGGCTTGCTCTTATTCTGGCTTTCTTTTCCATACTTGATATTATGGCACTTGTCTTACAGTCTATTTCAAACTTTGCATCTAAAATACAATATGCTTTTTTTCATATCTTGGAAGTTGAAAGGGTATGGCTGATATTTGTGTTTGGCCATAATGTGCCTTTCTGTCAAAAGGCACATTTCACTATGTAACATAATTTTTGTTCCTGAGTTATAAATGTCATTTCCTAATTGGTTGCATCATTAAAAGCATGGAAAAGTTTATTAAACTGCAAGAACTTTGTTTTGTGGGACATCCTGCAGCACATTTTGCTATAGTTTTTCAATGAATATCTCATAGAGTCTCAACAAATGCAACATATTTTTGGCAGCCACAAAAACAAAGTTTCTGAGTATAACAACTACTTTCAAAGTAAGTACCACACAATTAAACAGGAAATAACATTTTCAAACCAGGAACAGAATTTTTTCATTTTTAAATCTAGTGTTATAGGCAGTTACTTACAGCAGATCCTTTTGCTTAATGAGAGGTGGGTGGGGAAGGGACTTAATCTGTTGCTATACAAAATAGAACTCTTGCTTTGGGATATTTTTCAGGTGCTAGACTTGCAGGATGCTGTTGAAAATATAGCTGCTTCCTACAATAATGAGACCATAATGCTGAAGGACGTCTGCTTGATCCCTCTTTCTCCCTACAATAACAACTGTACTATTCTGAGCGTACTCAACTATTTCCAGAACAGCCATTCTGTCCTAGATCATACCATTGGTGATGATTTTTTTGTTTATGCTGACTACCACTCTCACTTCTTATACTGTGTCCAGTAAGTACAGTGACAACCCCTTCTCCTCAGTGAACTACTTGTGTTGTTTTAAAATTGCTTCTCTACATATCTGTTCAATAAGTTGATTTTCATTTAATTTTTTGGAGTTTTGAATAATTTGCTTAAAACCAGAAGAATTTAGCATTTAAATATTTATTAATAGACGTTAGGGTGGCCCAAATAATGGTTTAAAAGTGTCCTATGCAATAGGCTATCAGGTGATTTTAATACTGAATGCAATGTTTTATATGTTTTAATGTGCATTTAATTTTAACTTTAACTTAAGTGTATTCTAACTGTTTGTTGTCCAAAGCTGCCTTGAGTCCCCTTCAGGGTAGAGAAAGGCGGGATACAAATAGAGTAAATAAATAAATCCCAGAACTAGGGTTTGGGTGTGTTCTCTTTCCTAGCTATCTGTCTCACCATGCATTTTGGAGCTGGAATTTCTGGCTTGTATCATGCCAGAGTTTGCTGTTATGTTGAAACTGCTGACTACTGGCAGATATGTTTGTTAAGAGTGACAAAACATGAGCTGCCCCAATGTTGTCATAATGTGCATGAAAAGTTCTTCTCAGATAACTCCAAACTTTTATTTTTGAACTTGACAGAGCTCCAGCATCTTTGAACGACACAACTCTTCTTCATGATCCATGCTTAGGAACATTTGGCGGTCCTGTTTTTCCATGGCTGGTGATGGGAGGATATGATGGTAGGTGTGATGTCCTAAAGCAGACCTGTACTTCTGAAATGATATGAGTACATGTCTTAGAGAGCCCTTTTCTGCAATTTTCAGACTAATACACCACTCAGTATCTAGCTTTTGGCCCACACCTGATCATGCACTGTTTACATGCTTATGATGCTGCATTGTGGGAGGATTTAATGTAATAAGGTGATTGGAAAGAAACAAACCTTCCTTTAAAAAACAAACAAACCAGGAATTGGCAAGACTTGTTAGTTGTGCAACTACACAGGAAATACTAGTAGTTAATACTATTCTAGAATAGTTCTGAGAACTTCTGAGGAGGCCCTTCTCTTGGTCTCACCTCTGTACCAAGCGCGGCTGGTTAGAGTTTTAATGGTTACTCAAGGACTTAGTGATTTGTTTCACTCCGACACTTTGGTCTGACACCTGTATATAGTTTATTTTATATCTGCAGGCACTGCTGCATTTTATGGAATTTTAAACCTTAGTAATATGGGTTTGTGTGTTTTATGTAAAATCCTGTAAATTTAAATTGTCTTCATTTATGTGTATTTTTTGTGTGCTGCACTTTGGAGTTCTTTTGTGAGCAGCTCCAAATCCCTTCAGGGAGATAGTGGCAGGATATAGATGAAATTTATTATTATTATTATTATTATTATTATTATTATTATTATTATTCTAACCTTTATCAGATGCAGGGATAAATATAACGGTTGCATTTTGATGCAGAAGTTATATTACTTTGTTTCATAAATTATGAAAATATTCATTAGTATCATCAAGTTGAGTTTTTTTTCATAATAATCTCATGGGTGGGGCATCCCCTTTTCTAGAAAACCTGGTAAAGTGATCTGATTTAAAAAATGAGATTAAACAGACGACATATGAACTAGTGTTCAGATTCTTCATTTTGTATTTGAATGTTGTACCCGTTGACTGAAATAGAATATTTGCTTCTCTAAGATTAGAATTAAAAGTCTTGAGCTTTGAACTATCTTGATCACACATTTCTACAAGAAGTGGTACCATTAACAAAATAAAGAGTAAGAAGTTACTTCTGAATTGTCAGGTACTATGTTGCATGGATGGGTTCTTGTGGCAGTTTAGCTGAGGACTCCTTTGGAAGGAAGACAAGTCATTTGGCCCACTGCAATTTGAGTTAATTTTCATTGTCATCAGTTGGGCTAGCACCTTTGTAAGACACCTTCTTTGGGCAAGACCGTTGTGCCTATTGTGGGCAGATCTGTTTTTAGCCGTTTCCTTTGGTCAATCCAGCTTCTTTGGTTTGTTTGAGTGCCCAAAATGGCAAGGGCCTAGCCATCACAGATTCCCGTTCATAATGGGACCATGTGGCAACCGATCTCAGCTCCTCCTCCTCTAGTCGACATCACAGTTTAATATTTTTTATTAATCCCAGGAAGAAAATAATCAAATCCTCATTCTCTGAAAACTACTACCTCTTAGTTACCTCTACTCTAGAGTAGAAAGTAAAAACGGCTCTTAGGAAGCATTAATCCCAAAGCAGAAAGGAGATTGAAGCATGCCAGGAAAAAAGAGGGGTTTTTTAAGGAAGCCCAAGGAGGATAGCTACAACAGTCATTGCTCTTCCTTACCCGGAAATGGGAAGCCTCCTTCAAATGCATCCGAAAGAGTGTGTGGCATGGTGCAGGCCAGGAGAGAACGCGCTCACGCTTGCTTGTAGCACTTCTCCTCTAGAGCAGAAACAGCTTTAAAAAGCCTCCTTAAAATGCCTTGGAAAGAGTGTGTGGGATGGTGCAGGTCCAGGAGAGAAAAATGTGTGCCTGCTTTTAATCCAAGTGTTAATGAAGGATATAAGGACATACAATACCTACAATGCTGAGAAGGGGAGCCTGGGAAGCCTCCCCCCCCCCCCATAATGGGCCAGACAGAAAATGAATCCCTTTGGAGAGATAGAGCGGAATATAAAGAAAGTATTATTATTATTATTATTATTATTATTAATCTGTTGGCTTCCCTGATCGAAAACAAATTTCTGTCCTCCCAAATTTGGGAGGCTCTAGAAAAACTGATCAGGACATTGAAATGGGTCGCGGTTTACCCGGATAGCACAAGCCTAGCGCCAATAGGAGGAAGTGCTTTACAACAGTACTTTTGAGAAGGAACTTGCATATCCTAGAATGTGCCTTTTGAATTATACAAAAAAGTGACTTGTATGTACTTTAAAATAGTTCCCCGTGTATTTTTTCCACATAGGTGACAATTACAACAATGCAACAGCCCTTGTCATCACATTTCCTGTCCAGAATTACTACAATGACACAGAAAAGCTGAATAAAGCTCTTGCTTGGGAGGCAGAGTAAGTCTTGACTTAAACCATGGATGTAAACTCTTTATAATGGAAATGAATTGGCTTTCTGCTCAAGAAAGTCTAAAATAGTGTTACTGCTGACAGTGTTTAATACCACGCACTGGATCATGTAATGACTTAGTCCATTGGGAGTCATTTGCCTTGGATTTCTTTTAGTTCTTCCATCATGAGAACTGCCCTAAATAAATGTGGAGTTTAAGAATAGGAAAATCTGTTATAGATGGAGGTACATTGTTGGCTAGGAGTTGAATATTATGTACAGATCAAAGCTATCGAAATGTATCAAATCAATTCAGTATAGAACTTGGAAAATCGCATTTTATAGTAAAAGAATGCATGTCCACAGCACGTTTTTCCCTGCAATGGTGCAATGGGTTAAACCTTTATGCCAGCTGAACTGCTGACCTGATGGTCGGTGGTTCGAATCCGCGAAATGGGGTCATCTCCTGCCTGTCAGCTCCAGCTTCTCATGCGGGGACATCCCCTGGGCAACGTCCTTGCAGACAGCCAATTCTCACACACCAGAAGCAACTTGCAGTTTCTCCGTTCACTTCTAACACAATAAAAAACTTAAATATTGATTTTAAGGAATATTTTTCCCCAAAGATTCACATGATAATATTTATCTGGTTTTCTCATAAATCATGTGTCTTCTTCAGGTTCATCAAGTTTGTGAAAAACTACAGCAACCCAAATTTAACAATTTCCTTTACCACTGAGCGCAGTATTGAAGATGAAATAAACCGAGAAAGCAGCAGTGATGCTAGAACCGTCGCCATCAGTTATGTGGTCATGTTTGTGTACATCTCCTTAGCTCTAGGACACATCAGGAGTGCTTCCCGATTCTTGGTATCTATGTTTATAATTGTTGAAAAGCAATTTTATAGCAAATAAAACCTGAAATAATGTTTACAGCGTCTGCTGATATTTTAGCTCAAATGTGTAATGTTTTCCCTTGTCTTACGTGTTTCACCTTTTTAAAAAAGTTGAGGTAGAAATGTATTAGCCATTATTTTATCTCTTTTCTTTCCAGTATTTGTGGCTCTGGATGTTCTTTAATTGCAGCTCCCATAATCCCTCTCCATTGGCTATATTGGCACATGGAAGTTGTAGTCTCCACACTGAAAAATAAAACCTTTCTGAAATGCCTCTGTTGCTAGTTAATTATATTATCAGATACTACAAAGTTAACCTAATATTTCTTTTTAAAATGTCTGCTCTTGGACTTTCTCTCTTTAAGTTACTTATGGGATAGTATTTCACTGAGGCCCCTTCCACACAGCTGAATAAAATCCCACATTTTCTGCTTTGAACAGGAATATATGACAGTGTAGACTCAGTTCAAAGCAGAAAATGTGGAATTTTCTGCCTTGATATTCTGGATTATATGGCTGTGTGGAAGGGACTAAATCTTTCCCCTGTCTAGCAAAAAATAACTAGAACTATATTGGAACAACTGTAGTGTTACGCTGTGAATTCAAAATGATGAATATATAAATAATTGTATGATTTGTGTCTTCATTTATTAGGTGGATTCAAAAATTTCCTTGGGCATTGCAGGGATCCTGATTGTACTGAGTTCAGTGGCATGTTCAATCGGTATCTTCAGCTATTTTGGAGTGAGCTTAACACTGATTGTTATTGAAGTCATTCCATTTTTGGTCCTGGCTGTTGGAGTGGACAATATTTTCATTATTGTTCAAACATATCAGGTATTTTATTTATTTGTTTATTTGTTGTTATTGTCTTATAAGTAATTCAGAGTTAAAAATATAAAACAAATTGGCTTCAGATGTAACTTTTATTGTATAGCGTATTGAAGGAGATCAGTAGCCCAATCTGATATTATTTCGGAAGTGGAGATTTAGAATCCTTAGTGCAGTGTCTTCTTGGCAGCACAAGCAATATGTCTTTGAAATCCTTTCAAATAAGCACACAGGTATACCTCAATTAATGAAGTCCTTGGACACTGATTCTTTAACAGATCATTTGGTCCCAAAGACAGACTTTATAACATGGAGGGACACATATAGTGTCATGCCTCCGTAAATACTCTCATTGTTTACTCCTATTTTAGCTCTTTTTTGTTAGAGGGAATTAGCATTTCATATACTGTTTTGTGTGGGGTCAGTCTAGATAGCCTCTTTCCCTTTAAGGCGCCCCCCTTCCTGCCCCTTTAAGAATCCTCCCAAGGGCGGAGCCTCAGGCAACATCCTTCTTGTTTCTTAAAGAACTACCCATTTTAGAAGTGGAAGGTGAAAAGAGAGGAAAGCCAGAAAGGTCCACAAAATAGATGTTGGAGTCATGTCAGAGACATTTTAAGTTAAAGTTAGTTCAAGCCAAACATTAGTCCAAAGACAGACGAGACACCAACAAGAGAAGAAACAGTAGAGAAGTTAAGCACTTCAGAGCCCCTCTCTCAAGGACTTTAACTCTCTTCTGATGTCTGTTCCAGTTAGACACGGGAGGAGAAAGGGGTTGAAGCTTTTATCCTTGTTGACTTTGTCTAAGCATCCTCCATCTGTTCCCTGTGCAACCAGTTCATCTTCCAAGCAGTTAGATATCATGGGGGCAGAACAGATAGGTTCCTGCACCATGTGTACACACACATACAAAAGAAAACAATTCAACGTGTTTCAGCAAATGTTTAATTCAAAACCAATAGATTGCACGTGTCAGTGTTGCATGGTTAAGACATTATGAATTTGTTAGAAACTACTTGAAGGCTTAATGTACTTATCAAGCTATGTTTTTTAACATGTAGAAGTAGGTGGTGAGGGAGATGGATCTGCTTTCCCCTTCTCTCTCTCTCTCTCTCTCTCTCTCTCTCATTTATTTATTTATTTATTTATTATTGCTATTCTTGCTTGTAAAGAATTTTGGAAGTGGCTGCTGTTTGCCTTTTCCGTTTTTAGAAAGGCATATGTAGCTACAATAGGATCAGTTTGCATACCATCCCATTCTTTTCCAGCTCCCGTGTTATTGCAGTGTAATTCGGCACTGAAAGTTTGTATTCTGAGTCCTCTGCCTCCAAGTGCCAATGTTGCTGAAACAAACCTCCAATTAGAAAGAAATGAGGGGATTGAACAACTGTAAAAAAGTTTTGTAAAAAGGAGCCTTACTGTTAGAGACCTTTTTAATGGTATGCCTGTATTTACTATGTAGATCTTCGAACAATATTTACTTGAGTTAATTCCTAACAAGAGAATTCCAATTTCAGAGAGATGAGCGTCTTCAAGGTGAAACTCTAGATAAGCAGATTGGCCGCATTCTTGGAGACGTGGCTCCTAGCATGTTGCTTTCATCGTTTTCAGAAACCGTGGCTTTTTTCCTGGGTAAGAATTCCTTATCTTTCTACATTTGTGGTTTACTCTAGTCTGACAGAACTTTTGATCCTATCTAGTGTTAGGAAAAGGTATTTCATCATGTTGCACATGAATTTTCTGCTTAATTAGCACATTGATTCCATTTACGAAGGCATTTACGATAGTACTCATCCAGTTGAGACCTGAGTGCACGTACAGACAATTTATTTGAACATTTTGCTATTACAGACTCAATGCAAGTTAGTTGGGTGCCAAAACCTTAATCTGGTGGATATTTTTTTTCTAATGTGCATGCAATGTTTATTATTTATTTATTTGCAGCATTTATATGTCACCCTTCTCACCCCGAAGGGGACTCAGAGCGGCTTACAAGATATATTTTCATACAATATATTATATTATTAGCATAGTACAATATCAGTATTATATATTATTATATTGCACTATACCATTTACCTTTCTTCAAAAATATCACAGGTTGATAAGGGTAAAAAAGAGGGTCTTTTGGAATGAAATGATTTCCTGCTTATCTTACAAAGCATTCAAGGTTATAGATACAGATGTATTTTTAACCACTGCTGTATCTAATTACTAGATATACTGTTAGTGTGGAAATGATAGAGAATAGTAGGCTTGTGGTCTTCCATTGTGTTTCCTTGTCTCTGTAGTAACTTAAACTTCAGTATCTCAAGTCTTGAGATCATTACAGTGCCAACTGCTGTCATTGAAAGTTGTCTTGAATGTATTGTTCTATTAAGCTTCCATGATTTGGTGTGAAGTCATACTGTCTGTGTAAGCATAAGGCATTATGTACTTCTGTTTATTTATATCTTCTAGGGAGTTTGTCCACTATGCCCGCTGTCCGTACTTTCTCCCTCTTTGCTGCAATGGCTGTACTCATTGACTTTCTTCTTCAGATTACATGCTTTGTAAGCCTCTTGGGCCTGGACATTAAGCGTCAGGAGGTAGGTTTATGATCACCTCTTGCATCTGTTTTGAGTGTGTTCTGATTTGATGTAATTGGTTTCTATGTCTTCTCGTTGGCATTGAATGTTTGCCATATATGTTGGAAACCACGCTGAGTTCCTTTGGGGAGATAGGGTGGTCTACAAATAAAGTTTTATTGCCATTATTATTATTATTATTATTATTATTATTATTATTATTATATTCATTTTAGTCCTTTTATATTTCAGAAAAATCGATATGATATCCTGTGTTGTGTCAAAGGCAGTGAGGAAATCAGTAATGTTCAGCATTCTGAAAGCATGTTGTTTTTATTCTTCAAAAACGTATATTCTCCATTTCTCCTAAAGGACTGGATGAGGCCAATAGTGGTATGTATACCTCCCCCCTCTCTTGTTTTAAGTAATTACTCCAAAGACAAGATATTTGAAACTGAGGCTAGATATTTATATCTTAATGTAAATGCAAAAATATTAAGCAGAGGCATAACACCATTGCTGAGATGATTCATTGGAACTTGTGCCACAAATACCATCTGCCTGTGACAAAGAACTGGTGGGATCACAAGCCTGACAAAGTTATGGAAAATAAACACATCTAATTACTCTGGGACTTCCGAATTCAGACTGACAGAGTTTTGGAGCACAATATTCCTGACTTGACAATCATGTTAAAAAACTAAGTATGGATTGTCGATGCTGCAATCCCAGGTGACAGCAGGATTGATGAGAAACAACTGAAAAAGCTGACACGATATGAGGATTTAAAGATCGAACTGCAAAGACTCTGGCACAAGCCAGTAAAGGTGCTCCCAGTGGTGATCAGCACACTGGGTGCAGTGCCTAAAGACCTTGACCTGCACTTAAACACAATCAGTGCTGACAAAATTACCATCTGTCAGCTGCAAAAGGCTACCCTTTTGCAGCTGACACACATTATTCGCCGATACATAAGACAGTCCCTAGACACTTGGGAAGCGTCCGAAATATGATCCAGTACAACAGCCAGCATAGTGACCTTGTTTGGTGTGTAGTAATATTGTTGTGTTTCAAATAATAACAGAGTAAAATGATAAATATCTTTGATTCAAATATAAACTGAGGGGGACTTTTTCTGCCTAAAAAAAGGACTGAAAAACTCAGCTTATATTTGAGTATATACGGTACTTTGTGTGGTTGTTCCAGCTTGATCTGGTTTTGTAGTCCAGTTATTTTAATATGTATTTTAATAAGAAAAAGTTACATTTCTAACTATGTTGTGTATGAGTATAGTTCTTCGAAAGATGGAAATGAAAACCATTTTAAAGAGTTAAATCACTATTTCTTTGTTTTTCAGATATCCATATTTGTTGGAGTGCTATCATTCAGCATAGCAGTTATCAACAAAGTAGAGATTGGTCTGGATCAGAGGTTATCAATGCCAGATGTAAGTGGCTTTTATGTCTCCCCTCCCCTTCCATTTTCTTTCATTTAGAAAAAGAAAACCTATTGAACAGTACTATCATTCTCCCCTGAGAAAAAGCAGTAATGTTTATATTTTTGAAAATGAGTGTTTATATATTGAGACATTTTAATTTTTTTCCCCCTTTGGTGAACAAGGACTCCTACGTGTTGGAATATTTCAACTCTCTCGGTCGGTTCGTCCACTCTGGCCCTCCGGTCTACTTTGTGCTGGAAGAAGGGCATAACTACACCACTCTGGAGGGGCAAAACATGGTGGGTGGTGGGATGGGATGTGACAACAACTCCCTGGTACAGCAGCTATTTGACGCAGCAGAAATCAACAGCTAGTAAGTGCTCCCCTTTTTCATAAAATCCTATGACTCAAAAACTAATAACTTGTATTTTAATTGAACCAAACTCTGATTGAGAATTTTGAATCATAGAGTTGGAAGAGACCTCATGGGCCATCCAGTCCACCCCCCTGCCAAGAAGCAGGAAAATTGCATTCAAAACACCCTCAACAGATGGCCATCCAGCCTCTGTTTAAAAGCTTCCAAAGAAGGAGCCTCCACCTCACTATGGGGCAAAGAGTTCCACTGCTGAACAGCTCTTGCAGTTCTTCCTAATGTTCAGATGGAATCTCCTTTCTTGTAGTTTGAAGCCTTTGTTCCGCATCCTAGTCTCCAGGACAGTAGAAAACAAGCTTGCTCCCTCCTCCTTATGACTTCCTCTCAAATACTTATACGTGGCTATCATGTCTCTTCTCTGCCTTCTCTTCTTCAGGCTAAACATGCCCAGCTCTTCAAGCCGCTTCTCATAGGGCTTATTCTCCAGACCCTTGATCATTTTAGTCACCCACCTTCAGGCAGTCTGTTTTTCAGGTAGCAGTGTCTTAGAAGGCTTTTCTCCCTCCATGTTAAAAGGGCTTGAGTAAATTCCATTAGTGAGTGGATTTATCCTTCTGTGTCATCCTGAGAATTAGAGGCTGTACTTCCTGTGAAGGCTCATTCTGGAATAGCCAGAAGGAGCAATCCACACTTCTCCTATGTATACAGTATAGGTTAAAAATAACGGAACATAATAAAAACAATTGTAAGATACAACAGATGACATAGGTTTAATTGGAGAAGCCTTGATAATAACATGGTTGGGGTAGGAAACTGAAAGACTTGTGTAGACTCCTGCCTTGTTTAACTTGTTAGTGAGTGCATTATCCATCCAGTCCATCTCAGAATGATGTTTATAGTAAGACTAACCTTTTGTTTTTATTTATTTATTTATTTATTTATTTATTTATTTATTTATTTATTTACTGCGCTTATATACCGCAATTCTCAGCCCTAGGGCGATTCATTGCGGTGTACAACATGAAAAAAACAGGTGCAAATTACAAACCATAGTGCAAAATAATCAACAATTCATCATTATCATAAAAACATCTTATCAAAAAATCAACATTACTACCAAATTTCTACTACATTCCGAATCGTCTCATCGTCAAACCCACAATCCGATATCATTTCCGTTATTCCATTCAAATTACCAGTCATTGCACTTCTTGATCAAATGCCTTCTTTGTAAAACTCACAGAAAAATGCCCTGTTTTAAATGCATATGGAAAATATTTGGCTCTTTGTTTTCACTTCACAGTACAAGAATTGGCTATCCTCCTTCTTCTTGGCTTGATGACTACTTTGATTGGGTCAAACCCCAGTCGTCCTGTTGCAGAGTCTATAATGCCACTGAACAATTCTGCAATGCTTCAGGTACAGTGCGTTTGCCTTAGTGTTTTTACCAGAAATCTTATGCAAAGTCAACAACCTGCTTTCAAACGGAGATATTGAACTTTTTTGTGCCAGCCATGTCTCCTTGCCCAAGTTCATATATCATGAATTGGACCGTGTACTATTTTGAATATTCCTACTCCTACTCAATTTCAGGCATCATTGCTCTTTGAAATATTTTGGACTAACCTCTATGAAACATCTGAGCAGAAATAATTAGCATTGCACTCAAAGGGTTAAACCCTTGTGCCAGCAGGACTGCTGACCGAAAGGTTGGCGGTTCGAATCTGGGGAGCGGAGTGAGCTCCTGTCTGTCAGCTCCAGCTCCACATGCAGGGATATGAGAGAACCCTCCCACAAGGATGGTAAAACATCGAACATCCAGGCGCCCCCTAGACAACGTCCTTTCAGGCGGCCAATTCTCTCACACCAGAAGCGACTTGCAGTTTCTCAAGTTGCTCCTGACACACACAAAAATAAGAGTTCCAGTAAAATTCAGTAGTTAAGCAGATTAAAAAGTCTAATAACTACTTCATCCCACTAGAGAATGAATCCACTTTAAATCTGGTTTCTGCCTCCCGCAGAATTCTCGGGTTTGTAGTTCAAGGAGGAGGAGCCTTTAACAGCCTTACTAAACTACAAACCCCAGAATTCTGCAGGAGGCAGAAACCAGATTTAAAGTGTGGTGAGGTAATAAGTCAAGCTAAGGTGTGCCTGTAATTGAATAGCTTTTTGGGTGTCTTTGGTGCAAAATTCTGGGACTCTTCAGTAAGCATCTTGATGTTTGCCCCCAAAAAATGTTTTCTTCTGGATTGTGAAAACTGAATGTGTGGGTGGCACAGAGGTAATTCCTTGTTTTTTTCCATATTGGCTTGCAGTTGTCAATCCCTCCTGTGTCCGTTGCCGTCCACTAACTCCAGAAGGGAAGCAGAGGCCGCAGGGTGAAGAATTCATGAAATTTCTCCCAATGTTCCTCTCCGATAATCCTAACCCAAAATGTGGTAAAGGGTATGTATTGCTATAGCATTTAAATAGATATATTTTCTGGACAAAGTTTACAGTCATGAAATAATTATTTGAAATAATGTTTCTTTTTAAAACAATTAAAATTAATTCGTGATTTATTTTTTTTTGAGCTACTGCAAACATCAACGTCCACATACATTTCTGATTACGGCGCTTCACTTCATGCATCTGAGGAAGTATCAGTTAAAGTGGTATCAAACTTCATTAATTCAGCAGTTTAATGCAACTTTAACTGGAGAGCTGGAGCCTCCAGTGGCGCAATGGGTTAAACCTTTTTGCCGGCAGCACTGCTGACTGAAAGATTGACAGTTTAAATCCGGGGAGCAGGGTGGGCTCCCATCTGTCAGCTCCAGCTTCTTATGTGAGGACATGAGAGAAGCCTCCCATAGGATGGTAAAATTTCCAGGCATCCCCAAGCCAGAAAAAGTTACGGAAAATAAACATGTCAAACTACGCTGTGACTTCCAAATTCAAACTGAAAGAGTTTTGGCACAATCCTCCTGACCTCACGATCGTGGAAAAAACCAAGTATAGATTGTCGATGTTGCAATCCCAGGTGACAGCAGAATTGATGAGAAGCAACTGGAAAAGCTTACATGATATGAGGATTGAAAGATAGAACTGCAAAGACTCTGGCACAAGCTAGTAAAGGTGGTCCCTCTGGTGAGCGGCACACTGGGTGCAGTGCCTAAAGACCTTGGCATGCACTTAAAAACAATCAGCACTGACCATAATACTACCTGTCAGCCGCACACATTGTCATGCCCCAGAATGCACCTGTGATATTGTGTTTGCCTTTGTAGTTTGACGCTCTTGGCTTTCTGTACCTCTAGATGTGATGTAATAGCCCCTCCCTTTTCTCTCAGTGCTATACTTGTTGTTCTAAAGAGAAAACATGGCTGCTCAGCTCCTGAGAATTCATCATTTTTCACCTACTGTTGTATACACATTATTTACTGATACATGACACAACTTGGGAAGTGTCTGACGTGTGATCAAATACAAAAGCCAGCATAGTAATCTTGTTTGCTGTATACTAATCTTGTTGTGTGTCCGATAATAATAATAATAATAATACACTTTATTTATATTCCGCCCTTCTCCCCTAAGGGACTCAGATCAGATTACAGCATTTACATATATAGGCAAACAATCAGTGCCTTTACAATCATATACAATGAGACACACAAATACAAACAAAGGCAGAGGCTTCTCCTTTCATTTCTGGCTTCTGGAGGCCATGCTGTGGGGAGGTGCTTTTCTCCATTTTCAAGCTGAGGAGCTTGCATTATTACCTCCTATTTTTGTGGCTGGCAAGATTGCTTGGGAGAGTCGCTTTGCCTTTTGCCGCTGAAGCAATACCTATTTATCTACTCACATTTGCATATTTTTGAACTGCTAGGTTGGCAGGAACTGGAGCTGACAGACGGGAGCTCATGCCATCTTGTAGTTCAGCAGCACAAGGGTTTAACCCATTGCGCCACCATGGCTCCTTCATTGTCTTCCATTGACTTGTCCTGATTTTATTCTTTCACACTTCTTTCCTTTTAACCTTCAGAAGTGGCGGTTGTTTTCATTCCTTGTCAAAATGTGTCCAGATTAAAAAGGATCTGTCATATTTTGTCCTACAGAATAGGATATCATATTGTACTGGAAGTTTGTGAGGACTCAAGAATGTCTTGTGTTACTTGTTTGAATTTGAAAGAGTTGCCCACCATCCAGTTGTGTTTTTAACTGCACCTTTCTTTACAGAGGACATGCTGCCTATGGCTCTGCAGTTAACTTCATAAACAACAATACGGAAGTTGGAGCTACTTACTTCAGTTCTTATCATACAGTGCTGAAAACGTCCGCAGACTTCATTGATGCCATGAAGAAAGCGCGGATGATCGCAAACAATATTACTGAATCCATGAGCCTCAAGGAGAAAAACTATCGAGTATTCCCTTACAGGTATAGGGATGTCCTCTTTCAGTAATTTCCCCTAATGTTTAGAAGGGGATTCTTTTCATTTTGCACTATGTATATGCAGATGAGTGTAGGATCCTGATTCCAACCTATAAATTTGAGGAAACTTTTCTACTCCAGAGCCTGAATTCCAATTGTGAATGGACTTAATTGTTGTATTGTAACAATGTCTGGAGGTTTTCCTCCCTCAGAGTGTGGTGGAAGCTCCTTTGGAGGCTTTTAAGCAGAGGCTGGATGGCCACCTGTCAAGAGTGCTTTGATTGTGCTTTTCCTACATGGCAGAAGGGGGTTGGGCTGGATGACCCATGCAGTCTCTTCCAACCCTGTTTTATAACAATGATTGTCCTATTAACAAAATGGTCACGTGCTTAAAGGTGGCATCAATTGTTAAATTATCCTGCAGTGTAATTTATAGTAGGACTAGTAATATACATGTCAAAAGAACTTCAGAGTATACTGGCAAGGCAATTCGAAGTACTGGAACAGAACATGCTACTGTAGAAATACAAAAAAATGCCATCCTTGCATCTCAATGTATTTTTGCAGCCCTTGAAGCAACCCAGCAGTTTTTTTCTCTAGTTTCAAAAATGGGTGAATCATCTTCATTGTAAATACCGTAGGTTTCTGGAACTGGGGAGGGTGCACTTATAATTAAAAATAATCCTTATCTTTCAAAACTTAGATGTAGGTTTGTTTCATGGAGTAGAAAGCTGGGCCCTGGAACCATCAATTTTTTTTCCTGTGCTGTCGAATGACAGTAAGCATAGTTTTAAATGTAACAAGCAAAACATTACACACAACTCTTCCTCTGCTATGTCATACTGTTTTTGTTGTTGTTGTATTTTAGCACTTAGAAATGAAACGGCTTCTGTTGAACTGTGCTGCTTCAATTTTTTCTGTTAACGCATCTTAAACAAGATCTTTTCTCCCCTCCCCCTTTATAGTGTGTTCTATGTTTTTTATGAACAATATATGACCATTGTCGGCGATACCGTCTTCAACCTTACTGTTTCTCTTGGATCGATATTTTTGGTAACAATGGTACTCCTTGGCTTTGAAATGTGGGCTGCCGTTGTCGTCTCTGCCACGATTGCAATGATTTTGGTCAACATGTTTGGAGTGATGTGGCTCTGGGGCATCAGCTTGAATGCCGTTTCCTTGGTCAACCTCGTCATGGTAGGTTTGCCTACACCTTTCTTTCACTTTTAAGATGTCCTCAAAAAAATCCCTTCCCAGAATTATTTCACTCTGGGATTGTGTCTGTGTGTGTGTGTGTGTGTGTCAGGAGAAACTTGATAAACTGTAAGTTGCTTCTGGAGTGAGAAAATTGACTGTCTGCAAGGGTGTTGCCCTGGGGATACCCTGATGTTTAACCATCCTGTGGAGGCTTCTCTCATGTCCCCGCATGAGAAGCTGGAGCTGACAGATGAGAGGTCACCTGTACTCTCCCCAAATTCAAACTGCCAACTTTTTAGTCAGCAGTCCTGCTGACACAAGGGTTTAACCCATTGTGTCACTGGGGGTTCCTTTGCCCTAGAATGAAAAATTATCAGTAAGCTTAGATGGGTTAAATTGGAATATGTAAAACAACAGAAAGATGCAAGAAGTTCCCAGTCCCTGATCTCTTGGTTTTTTGAAGTCCAGGTGTAGATTTGAACAAGTGTGTTGTCCACTGATTTCTATCTTCCTTGAGTATATATTTTAAATATAACTTCTCACATGTGGAATAAAACCTGCTCAGGACTTTCCCCAATGTTGCAGAAAAAGCATCTCTCCATATATTGAAAACACGGTTTTGTTGTCTTCCAGAGGTTACTCAAGACATAAACCCAAACTTACTGAGAGATAAACTCTGCACTGAGAATTATTCAGCTGATTTGGTTCAGTGGTATCAAACATGTGGCCGTCAGGTGTTTTGGACTTCAGCTCCCAGACTTCTTGACCATTGGACAAGCTGGCTAAGGCTTCTGGGAGTTGAAACATCTGGAAAGCCACATTTGACACCTTTCATCAACCTTAGATCCTAAATATTTCTTTTTGAAACCATCTTTAATTACAATAGATCCCATTTCTGCATAAAACTGCATAGGACTAGCTTGTGCAATTAATTTGATCTTTGAATGCCTTGGCCTTGATAAAAGTTGTGGTGATCCATGACAATTCCCTGTGCTGCCTTCTTTCCAGAGTTGCGGCATCTCTGTCGAGTTCTGCAGCCACGTGGTGAGAGCCTTCACAATCAGCACAAAAGCCACCCGAACTGAGCGCGCTCAGGATGCCCTGTCTCACATGGGGAGCTCTGTAAGTATCACTTTGCAGCCTGTTCTTGTTGGGCAATTTCAGAAATGGGCTGTTCTCCTGTCAAAACGCCAGAAGGACCTTTTTGACTCTTTGCAGATGCATGCATGGCCACCAAGTTGTAATTTGAATAACAATGTGCCTTTCATTTGCTGTGTTGCACATAACAAACCCTTATTAATTCCCCAACAGGTTTTCAGTGGAATTACACTCACGAAATTTGGAGGAATAGTGGTGCTCGCTTTCTCAAAATCCCAAATTTTCCAGATCTTCTACTTCAGGATGTACTTAGCTATGGTACTTCTTGGAGCAACACATGGACTAATATTTCTTCCTGTCCTGCTAAGCTACATAGGTAAGGCTCTCCTATTTGCTACGGGTGACCAAACCAACTTGTAATTTGGCTTCATTTGTTGTTTCAGCCTGGCTTGCTGCACTTCTCCCACTGCAATACAGGTTTCAAAAGCTTTTGATTTTATTGAGTTAACTACGTTTTGTAGAGTGGAAACATGCAGTTGTCAAAATTAAGGAGCTTGTACTTTAATTGATAACATTCACATTGCCCTGGGCCCCTTGGTGGCGCAGCGGTTAAACTGCTGAACTTGCTGACTGAAAGGTTGGTGGTTCAAATCTGGGGAGCGGGGTGAGTTCCCAGTTAGGCCCAGTTTCTGCCAACCTAGCAGTTTGAAAACATGCAAATGTGAGTAGATCAACAGGTACCGCTTCTGCGGGAAAGTAATGGCGCTCCATGCAGTCATGCTGGCCACATGACCTTGGAAGTGTCTATGGACAATGCCGGCTCTTTGGCTTAGAAATTGAGATGTACACCAACCCCCAAAGTCGGGTACAACTAGACTTAATGTCAGGGGGAACCTTTACTTTTACTATTCACATTGCTGTACTCTACCACAGTATTTTTTTTATCTACTACCAAGTGGGGTTTTTTTCAGATTATTTTGCACATGATTGAACTTCATACTGCTTTGAATAAATTTATTGCAAGCAAATTTAATAACGCACCAGTTTTCAACAAATAATGAAAGTAAAACTTATGAGTAACTTTTCCTTTTTCTGTCACAGGCCCCTCAGTGAATAAAGCTAAAGTACGTGCAGCACAAGAAAGGAGTAAAGGTACAGAAAGAGAAAAACTCCTGTTCTTCTAGCTGTTTTAAACCATGTGGTCAGTGGACTCTGAATTCTGGGTGAAGAAGCCCTTTATGCTGAAATGTAGCAAGTTTCTGTGACTACTGTCTCGCAACTGGAAAATATTACTGGATTGAAGACCAGTAGTTTTGGACAATTTCAACTCAGGACGTTGTACATCCAACTACAGATTTGTCAGTATTACTAAAACTAGGGAGTATTAACACAGTCAGAAATAGTTTCGATTTAATAAATTCTGGTTTTCACTGTGATGGTTCCACCCTGAAAATACCTTCCTGAGGAAATTTGAAGTGACAAGTATGAGGATAAATTGCTGCACCACTGACACTATTTTTTTAATGCAACTCAATGCAATTTCTGGCTCTATTTTTTAGGAGAAAAGCAAAACATGACTCAAAATGTTGTAATATTTTTTAATATCTGCCAAAGGATCTGTATATATACTTTATTATAAAATAGGATTTTTTTGTAGGTCAAAAAGTCTTGGTACATAAATGCAATAAATTAAATTTATACATATTTTTTTGTATCGCAACCGCTTTTACTAATTCCTAAAAAGTGGTAGGCTTCATTAACGATTGGTCTCCAAAAACTTGCTTAAAAAACGTGACATGCTCTTCACAGTGCTCTCCTGCAAGATAAAAACAGAATAGCGCAAGGTTACAAAACACTTTAGTATAATGCAGAATTAAAAGTTTTAACTGTCTTCCTAATATATATATATTATTTTCTTTGAACTGCATTTATTTTCTTTTTTTAAATCGCTACATGTTGTTTGCTTGAGCTCTGCACTCATCAAACAGCAAAGCTGGACTAAAAGCCCAGTTAAGACCTAGCCGGAAAAAAACAACAGGTTAATAAATTGGGAGAAGTTTAGGGTACTTATATGCTCATAACAGTATCTGTGGTGAGTCTTGTAGGGCCAGAGTAGATTTTATGCATAATCACATTTTGGGATAAGGGAAGCAGTTTACTATTCTTCTGTGGGAATCGTTTTCCTGAGCATTAACCTTTGTTCCGACAACTTTCGAGTTCTGTCCGGACCAGCTGCTTCCCCAGGATTATGTCTAACATTAACACAAGAACTATTATTACCAAATTAATGTTGTTAATTAATTAATTGTGATTAGCATGCACAAATTAATGTTTACAGTCAATGGATTGGAATAATGATCCAAGGGAAACACAAGGGAAACATGTTTATACGTAGCTAATTTATTTTCCAAAGGTAGGGGCACTGATCGTAGGCAGCTGCAGGTAAGGGCACCTCTTTGACACTTGTTTAATCCACTAAGTCAGGCCTGGGCAAACTTGGGCCCTCCCTCCAGTTGTTTTGGACTCCAACTCCCACCATTCCTAACAGCCTCAGGCCCTTTCCTTTTCCCCCTCAGCCGCTTAAGCAGCTGAGAGGGAAAAGGAAAGGGCCTGAGGCTGTTAGGAATGGTGGGAGTTGGAGTCCAAAACAACTGGAAGGCTGAAGTTTGCCATACCTGCACGAAGGATTATTAGATTGTTATTTTATCATGATTAGAGAGAGAAAGCCATTTTAAAACTAAACCACAAGGGCTACAGCAAGGATGCTAAAGTGTGGCTATCTGTCTCACACTTTTACTTGGAAACGTATCTTCTGGAGTTTGGCAAGGGGATTTGGCACTTCTCCTTGGAGGAGCATCTTGTGTCCAAACAGGTATTTTTTTCCCAGGTCACTTCTTGTTGGTAAAATGTCTCCTAGGCTTAAAAATAGCTTATGGGAGGTGCAAGAATGTTTGCAAAATGCTCTTGCAATCCCTCCATGATATCTGGGCCCCCAAAAATGGGGGTATGTGGCCTTCTCAGGTCTAAGGGGTGTGTGATGCAGCCCATGGAGGGTATGCTAAAAAAGGCAGTATTAGTACACACCTCTCCAAATTACAGCAGGCTATCAGTGTATTCCCACCACCAAACAGTTATACATGTTTTTTTAATGAAAGTAGTGTTTTTCTTCACTGCTGTTGTTCATACAGACTTTTTAAAGTCAATTCTCCATGTCAACTCTTCCAGGACTTTTAGTTTCACCACTATCTCTGAAATTTCAACTATTCCATAGACCAGGGATGGGCAAACTTCAGCCCTCCAGGTGTTTTTGATTTCAACTCCCACAATTTCTATTGGCTGTTAGGAATTGTGGGAATTGAAGTCCAAAATACCTGGAGGGCCGAAGTTTGCCCATGCCTGCCATATATAGATATACTGTAGATATAGTGCCTTTACTGCAAAAACTATGCTTAGGAACAAAAATACTGGGCTACAGATGTGGTTTCTTCCCCCTTTTTTTGAGAGAGAGAGGTTATCTCTTTTCTGAACTCCTTGAAATGTTAACAGCAGTAACTTGCAATGGCAATATTCTCTGATCAATCTTAGGAAAGGACTTCAACACACACTGTCTATTAAGATGGTTTATAGGAGAACATGTTAAAAGGATATTGTACAAGAATACCTCAACTGTTTCGGTTATGCTAATAAACACAAACTGATATTCAAGTAGATTTTTTTGGTCTGCATTTCAATGGCTCACCCTTGTTGCTTAATTCATTGATTATAATAGCATGGCTAATTTTATATTATAATAGCAATAACAATTTCACAAGGGTCATGTGACCTAAATGCATTATTTAGAGCAGGGGTCCTCAAACTAAGGCCCAGGGGCCGGATGCGGCCCCCCAAGGTCATTTACCCGGCTCTCACTCAAGGTCAACCTAAGTCTGAAGCGACTTGAAAGCACACAACAACAACCCTATCTCATCAGCCAAAAGCAGGCCCACACTTCCCACTGAAATACTAACAAATTTATATTTGCTAAAATTGTTCTTCATTTTAATTATTGTATTGTTTTTAAGTGCTTTTTGCACTACAAATAAGATATGTGCAGTGTGCATAGGAATTCATTCATGTTTTTTTCAAATTATAATCCAGCCCTCCAACAGTTTGAGGGACTGTGACCTGGCCCTCTGTTTAAAAAGTTTGAGGACCCCTGATTTAGAGACTTCTAAGCTGGGTCCTCTGGTGGTACAGTGGGTTAAACCACTGAGTTGCTGAACTTGCTGACTGAAAGGTTGGTTCGAATCTGGGGAACAGGGTGAGCTCCTGCTGTTAGGCCCAGCTTCTGCCAACCTAGCACTTCTAAAACATGCAAGTATGAGTAGACCAATAGGTACTGCTTTTGGCGGAATGTAACAACACTCCTTGCAGTCATGCTGGCCGCATGACCTTGGAGGTGTCTATGGACAAAGTTGGCTCTTCAGCTTAGAAACAGAGATGAGCACAACTAGACTTAGTATCAGGGGAAACCTTTACCTTTATTTTTAGGCTGGAAGTAGCCCAAAAGGCAGGAACGCAGTTGTAAGGTATTTTTAAGTTTCATTTTTTAAGTTTCATTGTTTTTAACAAGCTTTAAGGAAAGCTAAAAAGCTACATGGGATTCTCCTGGCTTGCTTGCAAAGTTTCTGTTTTCCGTTTTCAATTTGCTGCTCACCTGGCGTGAAGCTGGGATTTCCCCGTAATCGCTGATTTCTCTGCTCAAAGAACCTGAATATGGTATAGAAGAGCATCTCATCTTCCGTTTGCTTTGCTGCATCAAGGAACTTGCGAGCGGAAATGCTGTCATGTCCTCCGATGCCCCTGATGAATCTCAAGGCTGCGAGGACCTGGTGCTTGGATAACAAGACTTCCACTATTTCATCATTTGCTGTAGAAAGTCTCTGAAAGTGCAAATTAATGCTGTGAGTGATTGCTGACCTAAAAGCCATGATTTCTAATTCTAAGGCCCAAAGGAAAATGATATTCCAGCTTTAAAGTAGTATCTTTTTACCTTATTTAAAGTTTCTGAGAGCCCTTCCACACAGCCCTATATCCCAGAATAGCAAGGCAGAAAATCTCACATTATTTGCTTTGAACTGGAATATATGGTAGTGTGGACTCCGATAACCAAGTTCAAAGCAGATATTGTGGGATTTTCTGCCTTGATATTCTGGGATATAGGGCTGTGTGGAAGGGTCCTGGGTTTTAGGTTGTCTTTTTTTTTTTTTGTATTCCCTTGTTTAATTCTATCTGCGACTGCTGTCATATTTGAATAACCATCAAATAGAACAGTGCTTCTTAAATTGTGGGTCCCAACTCCAAATGGGGTCCCCTCATCTCAATGTTTGGGTTGCAAAACAACAATGAAAGTGGACTTTGGGGATAAGTTCACAGGAATTACTCAGCTTCAAGTAAGTTGCCACATTACTGGTCTTTTCCAGTGTAATTCCAGAATGAACATACATTTCTCTGCATGCACAAACATCATTTTCCTTCTACACTTTAAAGGAAAATAAGATTTTCTGTACACAGATAACACTTCTATGTAGGACAGAGTGCGCCCATCATAATTTTTGAGAAATGCACTCATATACCCCCTTTGTCATGCAGAATGAAAAATGTTTTCTTCACATCCATTTGAATAATGCTAATCATGCACTCAACATTTCAGTGCAACAAAGACAAACTTAAAAGAGTGTTTTATGTTGTGTTTGGGGAAAAGACAGCAAGCATCAACATAAAGAGAAACAGCCTAGTTAGCTATTTGCTAGGAGCCCCCGGTAGGTTAAACTCTTGTGCCAGCAGGTCTGCGGACCAAAAGGTTGATGGTTTGAATCTGGGGAGTGGGGTGAGCTCCCGTCTGTCAGCTCCAGCTTCTCGTGGGGACATGAGAGAAGCCTCCCACAGGATGATAAAACATCTGGGCATCACCTGAGCTACATCCTTGCAGATGGCCAATTTTCTCACACCAGAAGGGACTTGCAGCTTCTCAAGTCGCTCCTGATACTTAAAAAAGTGATTTGCTGACTTGTATTTGTTGGGGAGCTGTTCAGTTAACAGCTTAAATGTGAATACTTCCTACCACATAGAATAAGAGCAACATTTTATGAATAAGTATGTCACCTAGTAGCAAACACAATAGTCCACTCTTTCTTAAACAGTGGGCCCTGACTCCAAATGGAGTCAAATTAGCTCAATGTTGGGGGGTCATGAAAAAATTGACCAAGTTAAAAGCTTTCTGAATGCCACTTAGACATTTGTACAAATCTGTTAGCCAGAACATGCAGTGTTTATAGTGAACTCTGCAGAAAATGCTTCAGCTGTACTCCACAAAATGGAAATTCAGCTTGTTTGACACACTTACTGATAAAAAATTAAACATTCACTGATAACCAATTTTATATATTTTACGACACGTAAAAGTTTTTCAGGAGGAAACAAGGTCATCAGTAGAAGAGTTAAAGAAGCGCCAAAATCGCCAAGGAAATAGCATGTAACAAACTTTCTGTACCTTTAACATGTCCAGTGACAGTTGATGTGCAGGAGGGTAAATACTCTCCAGAGACAACAACAAGCAAGCCTGAAACAAGATGAACAGCAATACATTTAACATTCCTGTTACACCATGGCAGCAGGATGAGTAACCAGATCATCAGTTCACATGGTTTGCACAGCCACCATCTGAGACAAAGCTAGGATAATTTTATGTGCAGGCAGTCCCTGAGTTACAAACATCTGACTTACAAACGACTAAAGTGAGGTGAAATCTTTTGAACAGACAGCAATACAAACTCCACAGAGGTGTTAACTCTTCCTTATGGTATCCAAAGCTAAAGGATATATACTTTTGGCTGGAGTTACACTTTAAACGTTTATATACAAATTCAATTTATAAACAAACCTAAAGGATCTATTGTGTTCATAACTTGGGCACTGCCTGTGTGTGTGTGTGTGTGTGTGTGTGTGTATTGCTAAGAACCTTGGAATAAGAACATGCTAGAAATGAAAAGCAGCCAAAAAGTAGTGAGGAAAGCTTACTTCAACTTACCAAAGGCTTTGAATCACTGAGGACGTGATACTGCAGGAACTGGTGGAGCATATAGAATAAGTTGTGTTGAACAAGAGTTTTGATTACCAGCTCATACAGGTAATGCTAGGGAGGTAAGAAAACAGAAATTTCATTTATTTCCTAGAGTGTCATTAGATCAGATTATACAAAACCAATTATACATCTTGAGTTCTGTTGCTGGGAGAAAGATGGGATATAGATTAAATAAAGAAGAGAAGAACTGTCAGAAATATTAAAAATTAACTAGGTATTTTAATTACAAAAATGTAAATCAATAAAATAAAACATCTACAGATTAAAGAAATGCAATGGAAAATACTGACCAAATGGTACAGAACTCCCGTGCAATTGGCACATATTATGAAAACATGCCCAAAATTATGTTGGCACAACTGTGGAAAAATAGGAACATACACCCATATGTGGTGGGAATGCAAAAAAATCCAAAAGTTCCATGAAATAATCAGGAAGGAAATGGAGGAGCTATTAGGAATATAGAATGGAACAAGACTCAATTTTTCACACAGAAATCGGAAAGTAAAGGAGAATATAAAGAAAGTGAGGAAATAATAAAACACATGATAGAGGCAATCAAAGCCTCAGTGGCCCTGGGCTGGAAGGACCACAAAAACTTGGTATAAATATCTAGCCGATTACCTTCTCCAAGATTATATTAGCGAAAGGAAAAGTTACTATATGACGGGTCAAAGCAGAAGGACATGGGAAGCAAAATGGAAGGTTCTCATTTACAGAATAAATATACAGTGTTAAATAAGACTATTCTCATGATTGAACAATTGTAATAAACACAGAAAAAGTACTTAACTGTTCCTGGGCGGGGGTGGGTGGGTGGGTGTGGTGGTGGTAGGATTGGAGAAAATACTGGTATTTTGAATGTTAATTTCAAAGATGGTATGTTTCTATGTATTATATAATTAAAAAATCCAAAATGGAAACTAAAAAAATTCAAAATAAACTATTTCCCTCATCAGTAAAAAAAAATTAAATCAAGCACTGAAAGGGTTGAATGGATGCAGCGACTCAGCAAAAGCTGTGGTTCAATATAAGACAGTGTGCCTGTTGCTTAGTAACTCCTCAGTCTGAGAGAGCTCTCAGTGTGAGGGAAGCCTCTGTGTGAGAGAATGTCTCAGTGGAAGGATAGGCCTTACTGGTAGTAGGCCTCACTGTGGGAAAAAGGCATTAGTGTTAGTAGGCCAGAGAGTGAGAGAAGCCTTGTGTGAGAAAGCTCCAGTGTGAAGGCTGATTTATGTAAAGCTACTATGTATTTATTTTTTGTGTTATAGAAACCTAGCTTTTGTAAATTTTGAAACCACATTATTTTACTACAAAGAAAAGCCTCATATGGAAGAGATAACATTGGTCTGTGTATTTTTGTTCTTTTTTTGTTCTTTTTATCACTGGGCTACTGGTACTGGGTCATGCTGCTACTGCTAAGTTACTCTGCTGTGCATTTATGAGGAGGGTGTTTTGTTAATAAGCCCACTCGCCCAACAAGAACTTGGGAAGGACTGGCAGGGAGAGAAGGTCTGTGCATGAAGATGCAGGAAATCAAAAGCAAAAGTTTCTCCAAATAATGGAAAATCACATTTTTTTA